GCGAATTGCGGTCGACATGGGCGAGAAATTTGGTGTCCTGTTCGATGGCTGGGCATCGGGAACGCTGCATTTCGTCGCTGTCTACGGGCTTTTCTCCAAAGGCGTGTTCTACATCAAGCGCTGCTTGCGGTCTCGCCCGCTGAATATGGACAAGGAGCTGATGTTCACATTGATTTGATCATCGCTGTTTTTGAGGTCTACCAGAAAAAAAGCGGTATGATCCTGTTCATTGTGACAGACAATTGTGCAACAAACCTAGCTGTCGCGACTCGGCTTGGAGTCCCTCTCGTTGGTTGCGCAAGTCATCGGGTTCAACTTAGCGACGTGCTGGTTTCTAGAAGCCTACAAGCCAATTATTGATCAGGTTCAAGCGCTCTGTGTCCAGCTTCGGCTTCCTAATAACGCGGCGGAACTAGCTCGTCACATCAAGTACAAGCCGCTGAAAGCCAACGCCACCCGCTGGTCATCAACATTTCAGATGCTGACTCGCTACGTGAAGATTCGTGATGCAATCAAGATGGTCGCTGCTGTCGAAGACTTGCTTCCACGCCCGAGTACACACCGCCAGATTGTCCAGCTTGTAAACAAGCTTGAAGATCTTGACAGCATCTGTGTCAAGCTTCAATCAGAGGACTGTACGCTGGGCGAGGTGCGACGTCTTTTTGACACTGTCATGGCAAAGTATCCTGCCACCTCGCACCATCTTGGCGCCTCCGCGAAAATCGTGCATTTACCCGTCTTTGAGGACGCAGTGGTCAAGTTGCTGTCGGACCGCGAGATTATTCAAGAGGAAGAAGAGAATGTCGCTTGCTTTGCTTTGCCTGCCCCCCCCCCCTCCCAACGAGGCTCCAAGAAATGTAGACTTCGCGACTAAAACGCTGCGCCAAGCTAAACGACCTCGCCACGGTGCTGAGAACAAGTACAGTGACCTCCTTCGCCTGATTCCGCCAACCAGCAACCGCTGCGATCGGCTCTTCTCTCAATGCAAGTTGGTGCTCAACCCTCTGCGTGCAAGTTTGCTTCCAGCAAACTTCGAGATGCTCATGTTCCTACGCGCCAACCGTG